AGGCGACAAACCCTTGTGTCTTGCTTTCCCTCGGATCTACTTTCTATCTGATAAGAAACTCCTTTCAGTGGCCCAGGTTTTAAGTTCTGGAGAAGAGGGTTTGTCCATATCTTTGGGGCTCACCCGTTCCTTGACTGATCGGGAATCGTCAGAGGTTTCCAAATTACTGGATCAGCTGTCTAGAGTTTCCTTATTTGTTGGGAGGGATGATGTGAGGGTGTGGACCCCCAATCCTTAGAAAGGTTTTTCTTGTAGCTCCTTTTTCCATGTCCTGAACTCCTCGTCGTCCTCTTCTTCTTCTCCGTCCTTGTTGACCCATTGGTTCACCTCGCTTTGGAAGATTAAAATTCGAAAGAAGATTAAGTTCTTTGGGTGGCAAGTCTTACTTGGAAAAGTTAAAACCTTGGATCGGATCCAGAGGATGTCCTCCCTTTGTTTGGGTCCGCAGTGGTGTGTTCTGTGTAGGAATGCTTCGGAGGATCTTGATCATTTGTTGTGGTCTTGTCAGTTCGCACAGGAGTTATGGCTTCGTTTCTTTAGGTGTTTTGGAATTGTTTGGGCCCGTTCTAAAGATTGTAGGGCGATGATGGAGGAAGTATTGTTATTCCCCTCGTTTCGAGACAAAGGACGTTTTCTTTGGCAAACGTGTTTTCTGGCTACTCTATAGGGTATTTGGCAGGAGAGAAACAACATAATTTTTAGGGGAGTGGAGAGATCTGTGGATTATGTGTGGGATCTTGTTAGATGTAACCCTTCTCTATGGGAATAGGTCACTAAGGCTTTTTGTAATTATCAGTTAGGAGTCATACTTTTGGATTGGAGCCCGTTTTTTTAGGGGTTTCCTTTTGCTGGGCTGTTTTTTTGTATGCCCTCTTATTGTAGTCTTTATTCATTTATCTCAATGAAAGTTCTGTTTCTTATAAAAAAAAAACATTTATAACCCTTTTGATTTGAAGAATAACTCAAAGGATATACATTAAACAACTCTAAAATCAAGTTTTGACCGAGATTGACTAGGTATGTGAACATATGTGGTACAGCCAAAAACTTTAGGTAAGTCAGAATACATACGAGATGTTGGAAAAACATTTTTAAAGTACTCAGTGGGAGTTTTGAAATTTAAAATCTTAGTAGGCATCCTATTCATTATGAAGGTAGCTGCGAGAATGACTTCCCCCCATAAATATTTTGGAATATGCATTGAAAACATTGTAGCGTGCTACTTCAAGTAAATGCCTATTTTTTCTTTCAGCAATCTCATTCTGTTGAGTATCTCGACAAGTAGACTCAAGAACAATACCTTTTTCTTTCAAAAAATCACCAAAAATTTCATTAAGATACGTAGTGCCATTATCGAAGTGTAAAATGCAAAATTTGGTTTCAAATTGGGTTTCAATCATATTGTAAAAATGTATAAAAAAATCTTTCACCTCAGATTTTTTGGTCATTAAATAAACCCAAGATAGACGAGTACAATCGTCAATTAAGGTCACAAACCATCTTTTTCCACTATGAGTACTAATCTTAGAAGGACCCCAAACATTAGTGTGAATTAAATAAAATGGTTTGGAAGTTTTGTAAGGTTTTGGAGAATATGTGGAACGATGATCTTTGCTGGAATGCTCTCACAATCGAAACAGGAACAATCAATTCCCTTGAAGGCGCTTTTGGAAATAAATGTTTGAGATAGGAAAAATTGAGATGTCCTAGCTGAAGATGCCAAAGCATAATTTGTTCTTTAATCGAGAGGGAGCTAATACTACTGAGACCTTGAGTTATTTTATTACTAAAAGAACCTTCATCAAAGTAGTAGAGACCATCAAGTATTCTTGCAGATCCAATCATCTTCTCTGAGTCTTGATTCTGAAAGATACAATTTGAAGGATAGACCATAGAGAAATAGTCTCAAGCAATTTAATGGTTCATTTTCCTGCAACGGAAGAAAAACTGCCATTTGCAATTCTAACTTTTTCATTAGAATATAAACGAGTGTATGCATGAAATAAATGAGAAGAACTTGTCATAGTATCAGATGCTCTAGAATCTATAATCCATGAAGCTGAGTTACTACAAGAGAGAGCCTTAGGATAAGTACCTATTTGTGCCAAGGATACAAAAGAATTATTAGAAGGTAAATTGGTAGATTGCAATTTCAGGATTTGAAAAAATTGCTCTACACTAGATTCACCACCATTATTTCCAAACATTCCTGGATTATTATTAGGCGAAATTCGTACCATTTTCAAGAACTGAACCTATTGAGACAAGTAGTCTTGGACTGAACCTGATCGGAGATTAAAAAAAATTATTAAACCAAACTAAGCCTTCCCATCTTAGCCTTTAATTGAATCGGACCTTGAATCGACTGAGTAAAACACAAATAAATCTAAAATCGAACTAGAATCTAAACCGAACTGAACTAGATTGAATCGAACTGGGTTTGGTCTAAACTGACCAGACCTTGAACCACCCGAATCGGATATGGACCAGAATGTTGAACAAACTAAATCAAATCAAACTGAGGGCTAGAATCTCTATAATTGTCGAGCAACACAGAGGAAACACCCAAACACCTACAGGCATAGTTGGCGGTGACGACCCACTGCACAAACGATGACGATCACCGACGACGAACAAATACCAGAACTATAATAGAGACGATCGACTGAACACAACGCGAATAGTCGGCATGAAGATGATCCCTTCGACGGTCCAAATAAACGAACATAGATGGTGATCCACTGCACATATACTGGCTGTGATGATCTCTCCGGTGCGAACAGACGGTGATGAGCATGACACGAAAAAAATGCACTGGCGGCACGAAGACGATCCACGGACGGCGTGAATACTTTACAACCAAGAGTTGCGAACACCAAACACCAACATCGGACGCTGGCAACGGAGAGCTGCGAGTCATCGAATCCACAAACACATGAATGGCGGAATCGTCGGAAGACAGTGACCTGCAATGAAAGAAACAGCCACTCGAAAATACTTCACTTGCCGAAACGGAGGTACTTTGTCAGAAGTAGGCTGCATCGATCAAAGGCGGTGGCTAGGGTTTCAATAATACCATAGTGGCTAAGGGAAGATGAAATTGCTAGACGTTTTCCACAACTTATCTCCCTATGGTTAGCACAACAATTGAGATCTTCAATAGAACACCACATCCTTAACTTCAAGCCAAGTCTACAACAATCCTCACAATGAGATATCATAGGACGTGAAACTCATTTTTCCAAACCTAATATTATTTTGCCATTCCAAAATCGGTGTGCAAGATTGCTTGGAAGGTTAGTTTAGGGTTTGCTAGGAGGTAAGTATGCTCTGTTCTCTCTCCTCCCTTCTCTCTCTTGTCCTCTTCTCGCTCCGTTCGATCTTCTCTCAGTAAATCTTCATTTCTAGATTCAGTCTAGTACTTTGCTGTTGCTATATCTCAGTTATTTAGAATTGAGGTTAGTAGTTGTTGCATCGACGGGTCATTTTCTGCATATGGTTCGAAAATGATTTGATCATG